TTCTAGAGCTCCCACAAAGATAGATTCTTTTTCAAACCCGGTACATATCGAACATCTGTTAATGTTCTGATCATTCCATCATGGTTCCTTAATCGTATTGAACCAATGCCATATGAGGTAAGAGGGTTGTTGTGTGCTGTGTGGATGACTCCATATTCTCCTTCTTGAAAATTCACGAACCAGTCCCTGTTGGGACACATATGATAACTACAAACCGAGTCCATCAACCATATGTCTGATGATGTTGACGACTCTGTTGTAACTAATGAGAAGTCTGAATCATCACAATCAGCTACATTTGAATCCATAATGGCCTTTCCATTGTTATGTTTGGCTTTATTTTCAACTTCGGAAAGTCTTTCTTCCAGTGCCTCTTTTCTCGACAAAAAACTCATTCATCTTTGCTGGATCTAGATCTTGACTTGGATCTTCCCTTCTTTATCCTCGTTTGATTTTGAGGACGACCCCTCACAACCAGTGCTTTTCCTTCTCCGCCCTTTTGTTTTTCTCCCTTTCTTTGTTCATAGCTGTACAAGGCCGAACAAACTTCGCTGAGAGAAACTTCGTCATTTTCATGGAGTAGAGTAGTTTCAAGATGCTCGTACTCATCAGGAAGTGACCCCAACAATATCAAGGCCAAGTCACCATCATCAAAAGTTGCATCCATATTTTGCAAATCTGTGACCAACTTATTGAAACTGGTGACATGTTCATTCATTGTGGTACCAGGAACATAGGTGAAGCGAAACAGTTTTTTCTTCATGTACAATTTATTTTGACTATTTTTCTTCAAAAATATATCCTCCAGTGCTTTCCATAATTTACTTGCAGAAGTTTCCTTTGTGTATGGATATTTCTGCTCTCTAGCAAGGTAGGATCGAATGGTACCGTAAGTAATACGGTTGATAATTTTCTAATCTTCTTTTCCAATAACATCTGGTTTCTTTTCTTCAATGGCAAGATCTAACCCTTGTTGAAAAAGGACATCTAGAACCTCGTCTTGCCACATCCCAAAATGTCTTGACCCGTCAAAAATTTCTATCGCAAATTTTGCATTTGACACAATTCTTGTCATAAATGAAGATGGCAACGATGACGTATTATTGACACTTGATGTAGATTCTTCTTGTTTATTGTCTCCCATTTTTGTCACAAATATTATTTAATAGCGACACAAATCAAGATTATTTCCTTTCTGGTGTGGAAGATCAGACTAAGCTGCAACCAAAGAGCATATTCAGTCAGAACCTTGGCTCAGTTACCAAGATAAATCTTTTCTGATGTAGAAGATCAGACGATGCTGCAACCACAGAGCATACTTAGACAATACCTTGGTTCCGATACCAATTGTTGCGAAAGCCAAATGTATATAGTGTGAATGAGTCACAACTACTATACCAAAATTATGGCAGTCCCTAAATAATAAATAAGACAATAAGACAACAATAAAAGGAACACCAGAATTTACGAGGTTCGGCTAATTTTGCCTACTTCCTCGGATACAACCAATATTTTATTCCACTCCAAAATGCAAGTGAAATAATACTAAAGAGAGAAGATACAAATGTCTTAAGAAGATGAGAAGGCAAATTGTCACCCACCGATGTGGGACTTTTGACAATTTCAACACTAAACACCGTGCTGCTCTACATTTTACCTTGCCTGTTGCTGTACGCAAGCAGACTGTCAATATAATTTAACCTGTGATGGCAAGTTAGTTATTACAAATTAATGTTTATCACAGAGATTTACTTGTAATGACCTTATATGTGACCTGACTGTATGATTTTTTTTGTACTGTCAGTGTTAGTGCACATAACATAAACTCTTTGGTCATTTGTGTCACATATTCCTTACAATTAAACAAACAAGAAAGCAACAATTGTTTTAAAAAAGGGAGACGGAGAGAGAAGTTACAGTTCTGAATGCGGATGACGACTATATTTTGTGATAGATTGCAATTTGCGCAGATTACCAGCATAGGATGTGGCATATGGATGATGCAATAGAGCTATTTGTTTGGATAACAATTCATGCTTCGAAATTTCTTATCTTGTACAAGCTTACTGGGACCAAGTTAGTTATTACAAATTAATGTTTATCACAGAGATTTACTTGTAATGACCTTATATGTGACCTGACTGAATGATTTTTTTTGTACTGTTAGTGTTAGTGCACATAACTTAAACTCTTTGGTCATTTGTGTCACATATTCCTTGCAATTAAACAAAGACGGAGAGAGAAGTTACAGTTCTGAAAGTGGATGACGACTATATTCTGTGATAAATTGCAATTTGCGCAGAGTACCAGCATATAATGTGGCATATGGATGATGCAATAGAGCTATTTGTTTGGATAATAATTCATGCTTCAAAATTTCTTATCTTGTACAGATTTGAATAAATCTTATTTGTAGAGCTAGAAAGAGTATTATATTATCATGTACAAGCTTACTGGGACCAAGTGTCAAATTTTTAACATTATAAACATTACTTTTACCTTTTTATATAATGTAGAATCCTTATTGCCCGTCTGGATCCCCATGTGGGTCGAGTAGTGGCTGTGCAATATCTGTTGCTGCAAATATGGCGGCAGTCTCTCTAGGGACTGAGACTCACTGCTCCATCATCTGTCCAGCAGATCACAATTCAGTTGTAGGGCTGAAACCTACGGTTGGGCTCACAAGTCGGGCTGGGATCATACCAATGACATCCCTCTGGGACACTATTGGGTGAGTGTATTTTTGTTAGTGTTTTTCAATTAAATTGATTATTACTGAACACAAGTTAAAGAAGAAGTTGTGTTACTGTCTCAGTGATGTTGACAATGATGTTAAAGAAGCAGACTTAAATAGAGGTTCTTTATCAGAAGAAGTGCTTTCAAGTTTCTCGTGAGCTAACAGAAGATCACAGCAGCAAGTTATATAAAAAAAAGTATTTTATTGATCTGATGCTACTTGTAATCTAGTTTGATATAAATGTAGATTTAGTTCAACCTAATTTAATTTGTAGCATTTGTTTTCTAAAGGTTGGGTGTTAATCAGGATTCCACTTAATCTTCGTGGCAAATATTTGGTTTAAGATTATTTTTTAGAAACTTACATGCTGATATTTTAGCAATGTGAATCAGACCTCCATAAAACATAAATATGTATATATATTTTTTTGCTTTTCAGGCCTATATGCAGGAATGTCACTGATGCAGTTTACCTGCTTGATGTAATTGTTGGAGTGGATCCAAGAGACGAAGTCACCAGGGAAGCAGCTAAATATATTCCTGAGGGTGGCTATAAGCAGTTTCTCAGGGAAGATGGTCTGAAAAGGAAGCGGATAGGCATTGTCAGACATCCATTTGTGGAAATGATACATGGAGAAATTGAAAAATCAGCTTTTGAGCATCACCTGGATTTACTAAGGTATGAAGCTTTGTAACCTCAAGTCACATTTTATCTTCAAAAATTGCAAATGAAAAATAAGAAGGCATGACTTGCTTTCCTGGTTATAGAACACTTGTAGTTATCTGATGGACCTTATGATGCTTTGTTATTTTTGGTGGACCTTATGTTGGAATTTAAGACAACAAGGAGCAACTCTGGTAGACAACCTGAGCATGGTGAAGAGATTATGGATCCAAATCACAGCGGTGAAGCATTGGTGATGATGGTTGAATTCAAGACGGCAATCAATGCATACCTGAAAGAGTTGATCACTTCACCTGTCAGGTCATTGGCTGACATTATCGCTTTTAATGAGCGCAACTCTGAGTTGGTACGTAAAATTGCTTTGCTGTAAAGATCATTATGCATTAAGTAAAACCAACATGAAGTAATATCAAGAACCAGAAACAGTATCTCATTTCTGCCTTAGACTAGTTTTGATTAAGTAGAACATCCTCTGTCCATGTGAGGAAATACCAAAACGGCGAATTTTTTTAGCATTGTGTCAAAATTAGTACATAGGGTAGTCTAGCTCATCTACTCGAAGGCTAAGATAGTTTCAAACACAGTCAAGACAGTTCCCTTACTTCCTAGACGGGGTGCAATTCACTCAACAAATGAAATGGCTATATGTGTCATAAAGTTGATGTCTAAGACCCCAACCTTTTGATACTTTTGGGAGCTTTGGGTGTAAAAGGCAATAGCTTTTCCCTGCCCTGTGACATGGAGGTGGAATAAAAATAGTGGCTTGATTTTTGAGCTGTATATACTTTTATCTATGTAATTTGAAAATATCCAATGGACATTTTTACTACAGGAGAAACATACCGAGTATGACCAACATACCTTTATAGCAGCCGAGAAGACTGACGGATACGGGGAGGAAGAGAAGAAAATTGTGGAGAAATTGCGTAAATTTTCACGAAATGGATTTGAGAAAATGATGAAGGACTATGAGCTAGACGCAATGGTCGCGCCTGGTTCACGTGCCTCCCCTGTTTTTGCAATAGGATGCTACCCAGCAATAACCGTGCCAGCCGGCTATGAAAGTGATGGCATGCCCTTTGGAATCTGTTTTGGAGGGTTGAAGGGTACTGAACCAAAGCTAATCGAAGTTGAACAATCTAGCAAAGTTCGGCGACCTCCTTCCGTAGTTTAATGTGAAGGAAGCAAAGCAACTGTTTCACATTGATATTGTTTGCCCTGAAAAATAGAGAAGATTTTGAATCAAAGAAAGTAAAGAACATTGCTTACTGCTGCATGTGCATCTAATGGTGCATTGTACCATGTTATTTGCTTGCTATTTTTTGAAATCCTTTGAATTTGTCTAACTTTGACCAGTTAAGCTTAAAAGAAATTCTTTTCTAGTTATGTAGGGATGGTAATGCAAGGGTTGTTTATGAAGTAATATAGAGATTGGTATATAGTGAATAATTATGTAGGGATTGTGAATTTGTGATATGTGAATTACTTATTTTACCCGTTCTGTATTACGACTAGATTCCATTGTCTATTTTAGAATACTAGCAGCCTAGCTATATGATGTTGCCGCTTATAAAGCTGTCTTATTATTAGCTTAAGTAGGTTGGATGTTAATAACTGAATTATCCTATTGTTGAATAACTCAACAAGGATAAGGCACAGGATCTAAGTCGATCAAACAGATATCTTACATTGAAAATTCCTTAAAATTCAATACTGCCGAATGCTGCCGGCAGACGTACCGTGACAAGAATTAAATATCTTGGCACTCTATAAATATTTATTTTTCGATTAATCCCTGACATCATTCAAGAATTGTTTATTTTCCAATTCACTCGTATCAAAATAGAAAAGTCACTGAATCATCAAAAATTTGGAGAGTGAAGTGCAGTTACATCCATCTTTTAGGGATATGCTGCATCTTGGCTAAAATTAGCACTATGAACGTTTATTCCTTGTTTGCATTTCTTATTCTAACGGCATTATCTCTTTTGGGATGGTCGCAAATTGATATCTGCCATGCATTCTCGATCAAAGAAGCTAGCATTACTGATCTTCAGCTTGCTTTTAGCCAAAACCATCTAACGTCGAGGCAGCTGGTCGAGTTCTACATAGGAGAAATTTCACGCCTTAATCCAGTTCTTAAAGCTGTTATAGAGGTAATGTGAAAAAGTATTACCAAGTTCAAACTGCTAAAAAAATACACAATTATTTATTTAATAGTATCTTCTACAGATAAATCCTGACGCACTCTTGGAAGCTGAGAAGGCCGACAATGAGAGGAACGAGGCAATTACGAAGTCATGTTCTTTATCCATGTTGCATGGTATTCCAATACTTCTTAAGGATAATATAGCAACAAAAGATAAGCTTAACACAACTGCTGGATCTTTTTCATTACTGGGATCAGTGGTGCCACGGGACGCAGGTGTAGTGACAAAGCTGAGAAAATCAGGGGCAATTGTACTAGGTAAAGCTAGCCTTAGCGAGTGGGCTCATTCTAGGGCGCTAACGGCACCCAATGGCTGGAGTCCCAGAGGTGGACAAGGAAAGGCAAGTTATGCATGCATGTACTTACTGCTACTAGTAGGGTAAGAGGAACATTGACGTAACTGGTAAAGTTGTTGTCATGTGACCAGGAGGTCACGGGTTCGAGCAGTGGAAACAGCCTCTTGCAAAAATATAGGGTAAGGCTGCGTACAATAGACCCTTGTGGTTCGGCCCTTCCCCGAACCCCGCGCATAGCGGTAGTTTAGTGACCCGGGCTGCCCTTTTACTGCTACTAGTATCTAGCTACTACTTTAGCACATTTTAATAGCTACTTCAATTTGCAACCTAAGTTACTATGCCAAACCAGTTATATGTGCGCAACTCCTATGCAGAATCCTTATGTTCTCTCAGCAGACCCTTGTGGCTCCAGTAGCGGATCAGCAATATCAGTGGCAGCAAACATGGTATCTGTATCAATAGGGACAGAAACCCGTGGTTCCATTTTATGCCCCGCCAGCTCTAATGCAGTTGTAGGCATCAAACCAACCGTTGGTCTCACTAGCCGAGCTGGGGTCATCCCAGTTACTCCCAGACAAGACTCCATTGGGTAGATCACATCTAAGTTCATATCCATTTGATTTAATAATTCTTAATTATACCAATACTAACTTGTCTTATGCTTTGGTTAGACAGGCCAATTGCTAGAACTGTAGCGGATTCTGTTCATGTTCTTGATGTTATTGTAGGCTTTGACCACAATGATGCAGCTGCAACTCGTGCAGCAGAAAAATTAATCCCTCCTGGTGGTTATACTCGATTTCTGAAAGTAGATGGCCTCAAGGGCAAGAGATTGGGAATAGTGAGGGAACCATTCTTCAATTTCACAGATAATCCTGCTTTGGCTCAAGCTTTTGAGAAACATCTCCAAACACTCAGGTACTTTGTTGTTGCTGAAAGACATCATTTTAGGAGTTCCTAATTTCTCATGCGAGTTAAATTTCTATACACTAAGTGTAAGAAAATTAATTCACTGAAAAAATAACTACATGTAACTGTTCCTAATAAGTGAAACTAATTTCTTGGGACATAAGACATGGAACCAACTACAACAGGTTAAACTAGAGTGAAAATTATTTACACCATCAATCTATAGAAATTGAATTATCTTTAGTATCTAATTTGGAAGCAATAATCATGTCTTCCAAGGGGGCAGGTGGTACACTAAGCTCCCGTTATGCGCGGTGTCTGAAGAAGGGCCGGACCACAAGGGTCTATTATATGCAGTCTTACCCTGCATTTCGGCAAGATGTTGTTTTCATGGCTTAAACCCATGACCTCCTGGTCACATGACAACAACTTTACCAGTTACGTCAAGGCTTCCCCTCAATAATCATGTCTTCCAAGGAAACATAAAAATAATCCTTCTTTTATGATGTTTTCCTCAAATGCAGGCTACAAGGTGCAGTCTTGATAGATAATGTGAACATAGCGAACATTGAGACAATTTTAGACTTTAATCTGAGCGGTGAAGCATCAGCAGTATTGGCTGAAATGAAGATAGCCTTAAATGCTTATCTACAAGAGCTAGTTGATTCCCCTGTTCGATCTTTAGCAGATATAATAATCTTCAATCAAAACAATTCTGAACTGGTACGTTATCCATGATCAAATAATCTACAAGATTCAATTTATATCACCTTAGCAACTAATTTAACTTAATTTATTTCAGGAAATGCTCAAGGAATTTGGTCAAGATATATTTTTGGCAGCTGAAGCAACAAATGGAATTGGGGAAACAGAATTGAAAGCTTTGAGGAATTTATCAAGATTAACAAGAGATGGATTCCAAAAGTTGATGAAAAAGTATAAGTTGGATGCATTGGTAACTGCTGATTCTGGTGTTGCTGCTGTTGTTGCAATTGGTGGATTTCCAGCAATTAGTGTGCCTGCTGCATATGACAAAGGGGTGCCTATTGGCATTTGTTTTAGTGGGTTGAAAGGGTCTGAGCCTAAATTAATTGAAATTGCCTACGGCTTTGAGCAAGCAACCCTGGTTAGAAAACCTCCTACATTTTTACCCTGATTTATTATGACAGCATCTAAATAAAAATGAAAACTTACCTTTTCTATTTTTTGGAGAACGCAATGGAGACCTCCTACCTCCTCACATTCACAACATAGGGGTAAGGTCTTGCGTATACACCCAAACCCTACGATATAAAATAATACTGAATATGTTATTGTTATTGTTGTTGGAGAACGCAATGAAGACCCATAATAAATACTTACATTTTAGCTGCCGTGGTTACTAAAAAATAATTGAATTAAAATACTTGTCATTTTTGGAAATCAAGATACAATTAATTACTTTCTTCCCAATTTAGTATTAGTTGTTTTTTTTAGGAAAAAATATTGACTACATACCATAATAAACCATCTCTTAATAATAATTTAAGAGACGTGTAAAATAGAAACATAACAGCTAAAATGTGGAAGAATATACATTGACTATTCTATCATGTTACGCAAGGATTAAACCCATAATCGTGGTAGGGGCAGATTTATAGGCAAATATATGAGGCAAGTGAACTCATGATCTCTCCACCAAACAGGTATTTTATGTACATATTTGTTTTTAGAATTGGTCTAATATTATTTGTTGCACCTATGCTCCAAAGAGGCAAAATAGAGCACTTGATTGAATGTTGAGTTATTTACCTAGAATAGCAGAGATCAAATATTACTTAAATACTTTTTTTCTCTCCTTTCTTTAATGATGCACCCATGTTATAAAAATTCTAAATCCGCCTGTCTTAGGGTTATGGTATTGAAGCCTTAGCCTTGATCATCAGGCCTAAGCATCTTGGCAAAAGCTTTCGAACTTTCAAGATAAATAGTTTATTCACATGTATGTTGCCAAAACGAGAAATCATGACAAAAGATATTCACACTAAAAACAAAACATAAATGTATACAGATGTCTATACATCTTTCATTTATAAATATGATTTTTAATCATATTAGGTACGTTGCGTTGCGTACCTAATATAATTATGATTTTTATAATTATGATTTTTGAATTAGAAAAGTGAAAAAAATTAGGTACGTTGATCAACTAAATTATGTATTTGCGTTGCGTCCGAAGTTGGAACTCTTGAAAATATTGTCAAACTCCATAACTACGTGAGATTCTCGTGGTTGGTGTATCATTTTGATGACTGATGTACTAAATACCGACACTTACCAACTCTTCCTCGTCAAAATTTTCAAACCAGACCTCTCAAACCCAGCACCTATCTATCATGATTTCAGTATGGAAGGTGTATACGGGTAAAATCCGAAACAATGCTTACCCGATTTCCCGATGAGGAAGACGGAAGAAGGTTACGGACATACAAAGTTGAAATCGAGGTTGGGAGCCTTTCATGTCGAGGTCTATAACAGGTGTATGATGTGCTTATCGTCGGGCATGATGAAGCAACACTCCCGGCAGGGACGGATTTAGGGTGGCGGAAGGGTGTTCACCCGAACCCCTTTCGTCGAAAAATTATACGGTATATCTAAGATAAAATCTGTCTTTTACCTCTATATATTATGTTTTGAATTCATTTGACATAGCCTATAAGAATAGCTTAGTGGTGAAGGGGTTTAAAACATTTGTAAGGTCATTGGTTTTATTCCCACTAGTTACAACATTTTTAACTTTTTCCTTTTTGAACCCCTTGGCGGTAATCCTGCCTCCGCCACTGCTCCCCGGGCCTAAAAACGAGCTCCAAGACCTTGGAAATATGGCAAACGGTTGCGCATGACTAACAGAGTGTCGTGATATCCGTACTCAACCGGATATCACGGCGCAGATCTCGCCCGATACGGATAAGTAATTGGCGAGAAAGGAAGTTCTTTTTACCCTTTTTAGAATTGTACTAAGGATGAAACCCTCCTACTATACAAAGGGGAAACTCTTTTTTAAGAAGACACATTGTAACGCGCGAATTAAGGCAATACAAATTCATTTTTATGCTTTTTAGCTATTGCAAAGTTCTTACTTTACTGTCTGTTTTTCATTCACAATTAGTTTCGAACCAAGGTTCGATCGAAAGCAAAACTACTGTTCAATTTAAGTTCGAGTTGGGCCTTAACATTATAATTGGTTTGATCATTCATTTTGTCTTTAACTCGTTTATTTATTATTGATTATTTGTGTTGAATCTATCCACATATTTTTAAAACCGTGTACAAATTTAATTGTTATCGGGTTTAAGGGCAAACAGAAGGTGATAGAGAAAAAGAACCAAATCAAAAAAAAAAAAAAAATTCTTGGCCAAAAATATAAGACAAAAAGTTGAAGCAACAAAAGCAACCAAATCTTATTAGTCCAGAAATTTCAAATAATGTGACTTTGGCGCCAAAGAGATACGGAAACACTCATTATAACAACGGACAAGTTAAGTACAATTTTGGATGTAAATCCTATTTAATTAAATTTCTAACAACAATTTTCTCCATCCCACCTGCTCCTAGTATCTTTTTTTCTCCTCACCTGCTCCTAGTATACTTGACAAAACTTGGCTGATAATTTAAAACTTTGAAATATATAGGATTTGAAATATATTTTGTCGTATTTTTGTGTTGGCAAACCAATGCATGACTAAAGATGCTAAAACTTCTAGAATCCTAACTTGACTTTATGCTCAATATATGGAATTTTTTTGTTTGTTTTTTGTTCTTTCTCAAGAGTTCAATAAAGGTTCTAACCTTTAAGTGGGACCAGATTAGTTAGCAATGTAGTTTGCTTGATTTATTTAAAAGTCAAAAAAGGCTTTTAATTTATAACTAATCTCCCAACCCTTCTTATAAAAAGCACTATCCCCTCAACATATCCTAGTTGATTTTTGTGTTGCACACAAGTACTTAGCAAGCCAATAGCTCAATTTTTGATCTTGCCCTTTTGTACCTTTTTTGTTCTTCTTTATTCTTCGATCTCGTTTTTCGAACCTGTCTGTCCAAAATGGCCACCGGCTCCTCATCATAAGTCAGATCTTCGCCGTCCTCTTGTAATTGATTTTTTGATTTCTGTTACGCTTATTCATCCATAAAATTGACATCTAGCAAGTAATTGGGCCATGGAAAGGGTTGCTCTACTTGTCATATTGTTAGTGATAATATTTGGATGGGCTGAAGGACAAGACCAAGAGTCATGGGCCAAGAGGGTAGAATCAGGCAAAGAAGTAGTAACAACTCTTCAATTCTATTTTCATGATAAACTCAGTGGATCCAATCCAAGTGCAGTCAGGATAGCCCAAGCAGCTGAGACCAACAATTCGGCTACAATATTTGGGGCTTTACTTATGATTGATGATCCACTTACTATTGGACCAGACCCAACTTCAAAGTTATTGGGCCGAGCCCGTGGTCTTTACGGGTCAGCTGGTCAAACTGATTTGGGCCTTATCATGGTGCTCAACTATGGGTTCACAGATGGTATTTACCAAGGTAGTTCGTTTAGCCTGCTAAGCTTGAACCCGGCAATGAACCCGGTTCGTGAAATGGCTATTGTTGGTGGGACCGGTCTATTCCGGTTGGCTCGTGGGTATGCTATTGCTCAAACCTATTCGGCGAATCCTAATGGTGATGCTATTGTTGGCTATAATGTTACCATTGTCACATATATTTGATCTCTTTTTGTTTTTCTTATAGATGCAACTAGTCTGTATGCATTTAGTCTAGTTCTTAAATTTTTTCTTGCCTAATTTTGCCTTTTTGGAATGAGATTGATGTGTGAGCAATAAAGAAATTGAAGTACTTGAACAAAAATAACCGAACCAATAATTTCTTAAAGTATATGATTGATGCACAGCGACAGCGTCTTAGTTGAAGCTGGTCAACTACTTCTGGACTTTTTATTAAAGGGTAGGTAAAAATAGATGGAGTTGAAAAAAGAAGAAAAAGACAATTATTAATTTGTAAAAGAAAACTCGATGTCAATGTTGAGGTGCTTACCCCCTTTAACATTTTTATCTGTCGGACTCTAAACAATACTTCAGTATTTGCAAATATTTGTTTGTTCAAAGGTATTTGCAATTGTATTTGTTTATCTCGAAAATACGAGTAATAATTAAATTTAATTTGTAATTTTAAAGATATGTGATTTAGTTCAATACCAATTAATAATCAAGAAATATGAAGTAGAAATGAAAGAAATAACTGAATCAAACCAATATTACTCAACAGAGGTGACCTCGGGCTTAGTGATCTCGAGATGAACTAAGAGCAATAAAGTAAGAACAATAAATGTAAAGGACAATTTTGATGAACATTAAGAGAGAAAAGTATGATAGTATATTTTTTGCCAATGATTAGATTGTGTTACAAATGATTGGGGTCCCCTTTATATAATAGGGGAACCCTAAATAAGGTACATTTCTATTTACAGTAAAGAATCTTATTGGGACAACTGTCTAACCGCCTAGTACGAATTCGTACAAATTTGTCCCGGAATTTACGCCATGATTTAGGGGACGTGGCGGGGATCTTGCTCATTCTGTTACAAACTCGTAACGGTATTATCTTGAGGCTGCTCACGTTCGGCCTCGATATTCATCGGACACCTTGATCTTCGAAGCCTCCCATCGGGCTCGCTCCTGGTGTTTTTCGATCTCGCTCTCAAAGTGACCCGCGAGCTCACGAAATCGGATAGCCCTGATTTCTACCGTATACAGATAGTCCCCGCGTTTCTTAGAGTATAACGACAATAAATGAATTGAGTCCTTGATTTTTATCCTGATTTGCAATGACATCATCATCGTAACGCAAGCGACTAAAGAAACGAAAGCTTGGAAGTTGGCCTTTCTCGAGGAAAACTCCGAGAACTTTTAGTGAGTCCGACGGCGGGGAAGATTCTTAGGGCGAATACACTTCCACCAATAAGGACCGTGCCGCTTACGTTTCGTGCTCTTAGTAATTTTTTGTTTTTGAGGTCGATCGGCCCTAGCGAGGAACTCTTGATCGTGATCTATGGCTCTTGTAAAAGGTTTATATAAAGCCATTTTCCTTCCATGGCTTCTGAATCTGTTACCCTTTTGTGCGGGTCAAAGCGCCTTAGCATAAAACTCTTTTTGAATGTCCAAAGTTTGAGATGGTAATGACCGACAATAAGTTCTTTCCTCGAACGTTTCTGATCAATGGTCCTCAAACGACCATTCGAACTTGAGTTTGAGTAGCTCTTAGGCTCAACAGTCGATGAGGTAAGGTAGCCCTTGGGCTTGATAGTTGAGTGAGTGCACGCTCGAACTTGGAATGAAAATAGCCTTTAAGCTTTATGGTCGAGCGAGGATTTGCTCGAACTCAAAGTAAAATTAGCCCATAGGATTCATAGATAGTCCTCGAGTGAGAATTTTCTCGAACTCGGGTAGCCCTTGGGCTTAGTAGTCGAGTGAATACTTGCTCGAACTCGAAATGAAAATAGCCCTTAGGCTTATAGTCGAGTAAGGATTTGCTCAAACTCGAAGTAAGTTAGCCCTTAGGCTTTATGGATAGTCTCCGAATGAGGGTTTGCTCGGACTCGGGTTAAGATATCCCTTGGGCTTTTATGATCGAGTGAAGACTTGCTCTAACTCGAAATAGAGTTAGCCCTTAGGCTTCATAGATAGTCCTCGAGTGAGAATTTTCTTGAAATCTGGTAGCCCTTGGGCTTATTAGTCGAGTGAGTACTTGCTCGAACTCGAAATGAAAATAGCCCTAAGGCTTTATAGTCGAGTGAGGATTTGCTCGAACTCAAAGTAAAGTTAGCCCTTAGGTTTTTTATATTGGCCCTTAGGCTCTTTTAGATCGGCCCTTAAGCTCTTTAAGTTAGGCCAATTCAGCCTCTAAGACGGCTATAATTTTTCCCTCTTTTCGGCTAAAAGACTTAGTGAAAATTTCTTTATGCCTTAGCATGTGTTTTTTGTACCCGTTGGTTTCGAGGGTTCAATCGATCAGAATCCTTTATGTTAATGCCTTTTGAGGATTTTTCGAAAGCTAATGTTATCGAAGCCTTTAAATTATTTGAGGGCTGATTTTATCGAAGCCCTTTTTTGCTTTTGCCGAGGGTACCCGAGTTTAACCGATTTTTCGAAGTATTTGAAGGCCTATAATTTATGGCGGAAGTCGGACGTCTCCGAGCCGCATTATTTCGGTCGTATCCTTTTACATGACCGTAGTCTTTAATATGGCCGTAACCTTTTAATATGGTCGTAGCCTTTTACTATGGCCATAGCCTTTGGGTATGTCTCCCGGACTTGTTTCTCGATAGCCTCTCGAATTTGTCCGAAAAGTTAGTCCCCGAGTATGATGGCCTTGGCCTGTGTATCGGGGGGTGCCTCTTTGTGGTCTTATGATTTCGAACTTGGATAGATCGAGTAGGTAGTCCCCGAGCATTCGAGGTATGCTCGTACTTGGGTTAAGATAGCCCTTGGGCTTTTATGATCGAGTGAGAATTTGCTCAAACTCGAAGTAAGTTAACCATTAGGCTTCGTAGATAGTCCCCGAATGAGAGATTGCTCGAACTCTGGTTAAGATAGCCTTTGGGCTTTTGTATTTGTTACAATTTCGGATGCTCCCGACCTGCGTTAACTTGGCCGTAGCCTTTTTAGTTCGGAACTTGCCCTTCGGGCTTATCTTCCGTTTTACTTAGAGCTTGACCGAAGAGTCAGTCCCCGAGTGGGGTGGCCGTGGCCCGTAAAATCGAGGATCGCCTTTAAGGTCTTATGGTCTAGAAATGTTAGCAGTTTGAACTTCCGTTGTGATTGGCCCCTTAAGCCTGTTTACACAATAAATAGAGAGTATAAAATAGAAATTTTTTCTAAAAGCATGAGATATCGGCAAGGAAAAATACTTCTCTCAATAGACTATTATACATGATGTTAAAGCTCGAGTAATCTATATGGGCACGGCTCATCTGACCATTTGACCCTTACAACATTTTCCTATCGAGGCCCTATTGTCATGAAGTAACTTCCTTGCAACAAAGTGGACATTCGAAAGTAATGCCTCCCAGATCTCGAAGCTTATCTCAGGGAACTGGCGGATCCAATTCATTGGCGAAAGAAAAGTCTATCGTTTTAACACTCAGAAAAGGGTCCTGCTGGTCTCTGGTGCTCAGCCTTAACCAGCTGGCACACTAAGCATTTAGCCACATACTCAGCGACATCCCTCTTCATACCTTTCCACCAATAGTGTGGGCGATACCGTTGAACTGCTCTAAGTTAGCACGAACAATGGTTGCCTCATTAAAAACCTTGTCGGAAAAGCCCCTTTGGGATAAAAACCGGTCCAATAAAAAAAGAGTGCAACGCGTGCTTTAAGATTCAAAGCTGCATGTCGATCCTTGTCGATAGCTTGCAAGTGTTAGTCGAAAAAATAGAGAGAGTTGAAGTGGGGTAGTACCTTTATTCGTATTTTGGATATTTAATGTGATCTTCCTCGACATCAGGCCCTCGTGAATTTTGACCTCGACCATTTCTCCTCTCGTTTTGTGCGAAGCTTCGCCCATACCCGCTGCCTCTATGGTCTCCGTTGTACAGTTGATATCGATCTCTATTCGACCTCTGTTCTCAATCGACATCCCCTTTGATCATACCCATGGGCCTGCTAGGATAAACGGACCCCAAAGGAATCCTTCGACTCTAATCTTCGATTGGTACCAATTATGTACGTCGGCCCAAGTGATAATCGGGTACTCGAGCAAACTTTGTTTCAATTGATGTGAAGCTATAGAACTCCGAGTGTTGAGACCTTGAGTGAAAGCTTGAATGGCCCAGTCATCGGTGGCCTGAGGCAAATCCATTCTCTGTGCTTGGAATCGAGATACGAATTCCCTGAGCATCTTGTTTTCTTTCTACCTTACCTTGAAAAAGTCTGACTTCCTCGTTGTTTTAATGGCTCCGGCATGTGCTTTTACAAAAGAATCTGCAAGCATAGCAAACGAATCAATAGAATTAGGGGGTAAGTTATGATACAATATCAAGGCACCCTTGGACAGAGTCTCCCCGAACTTTTTCAGTAGTACGGATTCAATTTTGTCATCTTCCAAGTCATTTTCTTTGATGGAGCACATATACGAGGTGACGTGTTCATTCGGATCGGTCGTTCCATTATACTTGGGAATCTCGGGCATACAGAACTTTTTGGGAATTTGCTTCGGAGCCGCACTAGGGGGAATTGTCTTTGCATGAACTTTTTAGAATCTAGCCCTTCTAAGATCGGGGATGCCCCCGATATTTGATCAACACGGGAGTTATAAGTCTCCATTTTTTGTCATTATCCTCGATCTTTTTTCCCCGGACTCGATTCTCTTGGTGAGTTCCTCGAGCATCTTCATAATTATGGGGTCAATCCCCGAGCCATTACCATTTGATCCCTCCGGCACCAGCTCAGTATGTCGAGTGTTCCCTGGTTCGACCACATTTAGAGTTTTATTCTAACTTTGAAGTTGAGCGATGGAAATCTGTTGAGCTTGTAGCATCTCTAATATTACTTGAAGGTTGATTCCCCGTTTCCTGTACCTTATGTTCCTTGGCCACCAGATCTGACTTCCCTACGTACACTTCCCTCGGGGTCTGCGCCTAAATCCGCATTTAAAGCAATGTGTGAACTAACATCGACTGGTTCCACATTTGGCACTTCTCCAGAGTTAATTGGTGGTATACCGGTTCCCGGAACAGCTACATTTTCGTTTTCCCCATGAAATCTAAGACCGTCATCGCCGTGCACGGGAGGATTTTTTGAGTTTGACATGTTTTAACCTGAAAACAAAGAATCTTTGACAAGAACAAGTGTAAAAATAACGTGTGTTATCAGAATCAGTACTGAAATAACCACTTTATCTTTAGCCCCACGGTGGATGCCAAAC